GTCTTCCTCGAGTGAGCCCAGGGCAGCCAGACCAGTAGAACACTGAGGCCAGCGGCTCCCCCAGGCTCTCTGCTCTGGGTCTGAGCCCCAGGCTTGGCAGGCTGAGTCCTGCAGCCTCTGAGCTCATTTCTTCTTTAGCTGAGGAATTCCCTCCTGGCCCCTCCGCTGCTGGCCGGGGGCTAAGGCGGGGATACACGGACAGTGGAGGCCTCTGGCCCAGTTGTGTTGGGCCAGCGCCTCTTGGAACTGCTTCTTGCTTGGGCAGTGGTTTAATGAGCGGCTGTCTGGCCCTGTGGCCATTTGAATGTAGCTGATGCTCATTGACCTGCCTACAAGCTCTTGCATGAGTCAGTTTCTGCTGACAACGCCTTTATTCAACCAACAGGCATTTACTGAGCACCTGCTGTATGCCAGGCCCTGTTCTGAGCACTTAGGATTCAGCAGGTAACGCAGTAGGTCAAAAGCCTGTTCTTTTATGGAACTGACCTTCTTGCTCACCCTGTCCTTACAGCCATGCTGCTTTTGTGCTCCAAGCTCTGTCCACCTCTGGACCTGGACCATTGTGCTGTTTCCTTTGCCTGTCATCGCCCCTACCAGCCACCATGCACACACCTAACTCACACACTCTGCCTGGCTATACTGAGATTATTTGGGTTGCAAGGAATGGATTCAGTCTAACTTAAGGAAAGAAAAAAGAAAGAAAGAAAGAGAAGATGACTTATTGGGAGGCTGTGGAGCCCCCCCAGAGTTGGGGGGAGACCCGAGAGCCGGGCCTTTGAAAGAACTGCACCAGGAAACACGGGAGCAGGCACCGAGGGGCACTGTCTTCAGGGCAGTGCTCTTGGTGAGAATTGGCACCAGCTGTTCCCCGCCCTTGGGTTCCTCCAATCAGAGGGTCATGTTCCCTGGGCAGGGAGCATCGCAACGGCCTCGCCTAGGTCATGTGTCCCAAACCTGGCTGGGGGTTGGGGGTGGCGAGCCTTGAGGGACCGTCCCACTGAGGCGACATTCCACATGGGATAGGTGGCCCCAAAGACAGGCCCAGCAGGAACCCAGCACAATGGCCACACCTGTTCATTCTTCAGTTTCGTGTTGGATGTCACTTCCTCCAGGAAGCCCTGATTTGAGCCAGATCCCCCAATTTAAATGGTACCGTTTAGGAGTATTTTTAGTTGCAAGGACAGAAAACCCAAGTCAGCAGTGGCCTGAATGGGTAATGTGCTACACGTCCGTCGTCCGCACATTAAGGCCCTTTTGTCCTCCGTTCCATCCTCAGCAGAGTCTGCCCCGTGGTCATGAGATAGCCCCACAGCCCCTGCATCACTTCCTCACATGACTTTCTCCCAGGCAGGGAGGGGTGCTGTTGCTTTTCCCTTTTACAGGGAGGAAGATACTTTTTAGGATCCCCTGATTGGCTTCCCCAGATGTCTTGCTGCTAGAGCTAGGTCAGTTAGGAATTGAACTTGATTTCTAGTATCAGAGAGCCAGCTACAGAGGCTGAAAGAAATTAGGGGTTTAAGCAGGGAGGGTATAGCTCAGTGGTAGAGTGCATGCTTAGCATGCACAGAATCCTGGGTTCAATCCCCAGTACCTCCATTAAAAAAAAAAAAGAAATTAAGAAATTAGGGTTTATTTTTCTTTAGTATGACAGAAGCCCAGAATTTGGTAGTACAGAACTGCTAGGACAGCCTCATGATATCTTTGAGGACCACACTCTCTTTTTTCTCTACCATCCTTAGCATGCTTCTGTTCTCCAGGTCACACTGTGGTCTAGGATGACTGCAGGAGCTCCAGCCATCACGTCTTTGTTCCAGACAGGAGGAAGAGAAAGGAAGGGTCAGGGACAAAGAGCCCTTTCCAGAGCTCCCTATCAGTGATCTCACTGGCCACCTCTAGCTGTAAGGGAGGCTGGAATCTGTGGTTGTCTAGATAGGTGTGCTGCGGTCTCTAATAGTGAGGGTTTCAGTTCTAAGGCCAGCTGAGGGTGGGGGGATGTTGCTGGACAACCAACAGCATCTGCATATAAAATCTCCACTTCTCCTTTGTAGTGTTTATTGCAGTGCCTTTATCACATTTAAATAATTATCATACAATGAAATACTTTTTTTGTTTGGGGTTTATTAATTGCAGTCATAGACATGGTTGGGGGATACCACAGTAAGTAAAGCAGACACACATCCCTGCCCTCTTGGAGCCTCCGTTCTAGGGGCAATGCTGGGCTTTTCCCTGGCCTGGTTCAGTCCCTCAGGTGCCTGTCCACCTAACACCCTCCCCTTCTTGTTTCATTCCAGGGCGACTGCCAGACGCGGGAAGAGGCGGTGGCACTGGGCGTGGGCCTGTGTAACAACGGCTTCATGCACCACGGTAATTCGCCCTTCCCTCCGCCCAGCCTCCTGGGGCGGGAGGGGTGAGGCCTGACCTGGAACAGAAGAGCTAGCCAGGACCCTGGTCCCTGGTGCATTGTACAGGGAAGGGAAACTGAGGCCTAGAGAGAGCAAATGATGGGCAGGATTTGAGGCCAAATCCTTCCTAAATAAGCTCTTCCTCCATGATGGGGCATGTCCTCCCAGGGTGGGCAGTGAGGCTGGACAGCACAGGCCTGGCCTGCAAGCTTCCACGGAGAGGAGAGGAGAGGGATCGGTGGGGACAGAGGTCTGGCAGCGCCACTTTTCCCGGCCTCGCCCCTCAGATATGTCGCTCCTCTTCCCACAGGGAGAAGTGTGTAAGAGGGGCAGAGAGGTGGACGGTCCTGAGATGGTCCTGAGGCGGGAATGTGGGGAGAGGGAGGGAGAAAATGGTTCCACTGACAGCATTTTAAATTAAAACAGAAGTTATCCTCTGTGCCTGGCCTCCCTCTAAAAAGCTCTCCATGAATGAATTAGTTTAATCTTTGTGACGATCCTTTGATGTTGGTATTAATATCATCCCCATCTATAAATAAGGACTAGAAGCCCAGACAGTTAAGACACTTGCTCAAGGTCACACAACAGGGATGATGTGGGATTTGAACCCAGGCAGGCTGGCATCACAGGCCATAGGTCAAACACTGAGCTCTGTGGCCTTTCCTTGTGGCCTCCAGCGGAGTCCCAAGTCTCCTCCCCTTTCAGCAGGACAAGTGGACTTTTTTTTTATTTTAATTGAACTCTAGTCAGTTTACAATGTTGTGTCAATTTCTGGTGTATAGCATAATGTTTCATAACGTATGTATACATACATATATTCCTTTTCATATACTTTTTCATTATAGGTTACTACAAGCTATTAAATATAGTTCCCTGTGCTGTACAGTAGAAACTTGTTTTTTTTTTTAAATCTATTTTATATATAGTAGTTAGTATCTGCAAATCTTGAACTCCAGATTTATCCCTTCCCACCCCCTTTCCTCCCTGGTAACCATAAGTTTGTTTTCTATGTCTGTGAGTCTGTTTCTCTTTTGTAAATAAGTTCATTTGTGTCTTTTTTTAGATTCCATGTATGAATGATATCATATGGTATTTTTCTTTCTCTTTCTGGCTTTCTTCACTTAGAGTGATGGTCTCCAGGTCCATTCATGTTGCTCCTAATGGCACTATTTTATTTTTTAATGGCTGAGTAGTATTTCATTGTATATATATATGCACCACATCTTCTTTATCCAGCCATCTGTTGATGGACATTTAGGTTGCTTCCATGTCTCAGCCATTGTATACAGTGCTGCTGTGAGCATTGGGGTGCATGTATCTTTTCGAATTAGAGTGCCCTCTGGATATATGCCCAGGAGTGGGATTGCTGGATCATAGGGTAATTCTATTTTTAGTAGGACAAGTGAACTTTTCACCTCCACTGAGGAGCCTTTCTCCTGTCTAGAACACTGCCCAGGGCCTGGTCACTTGCAGTTTCCCTTACCTGGGTGTCTCCTCCCCACTGCCAACTGCCCCCCCATCACTGATTCCGTGTTTCTGTTCAGTTGTCACCGCCCCAACGAGACCACCTGACCAGCTGGAGGGGCTCCTCTCCTTTCTCACCCTCTGGAGCTGCTCTGTCCTGTGAGGCTGATTCCACGCCTCCCTCTGTCTATTCTGTTTTCCAGAGGATGCCTTCTGCCTGCGGGCCCTGTGCAAGCTCTGGGGACAGAGGGTGAACAAGACAGATGTAGGTCCTGCCCTCGGAGCTCACGGCCCCGTGTGTGTGTGTGTGTGTGTGTGTGTGTGTGTGTGTGTAGAGATCACACAGCGAGAGAGTAATTAACGTTTACCTTTCCGAGGTCTTAGTTAGTGAGACTAGTTGGTAGGGAGGGAACGGTACC